ACGTTCTTTCACTGCATGATTCAGTTTATTAAAATGCATTTAGAATGATCACAAAATTCAAGATATGGGGGCAGAAATGTATATATTTATATCATTTCATATAGTTAATCAGTATCACCCGAAGACTGACGTTTTTTCCACCAAAAAGCGGCATTGTTTACAAATGTGATACAGCAGTTCAATAAACAAGAATGGGAGTCAGCTGTCCACGGTAGTCCTTAAGATATCAGCACAATAACATACTCAGCAAAATATAATCTAATTATCGTTATCGATAAAATCCCAGACAATATTGAGATGTTAACAATATTGCACACTCCTAATATGTTTAACGTTTTGTTTAGAATTTTTTTTAAATAAATATGAGAAGTGCCCTTTTTTCCACTTGAGCCCCTGCCCCTCAAAATGTCTGTGCACGTCACTGATGTACAGTGAAGTTCAGACACTGGGCCTATTGGAACTTTAATTGAATATGCTTAGCCTAGTTAAGTAGGTTAGACCAGTGCACGTTCTTTCACTGCATGATTCAGTTTATTAAAATGCATTTAGAATGATCACAAAATTCAAGATATGGGGGCAGAAATGTATATATTTATATCATTTCATATAGTTAATCAGTATCACCCGAAGACTGACGTTTTTTCCACCAAAAAGCGGCATTGTTTACAAATGTGATACAGCAGTTCAATAAACAAGAATGTAATATTAAGACACTTACGTTTTAGACACAATATTGACTGTTTTTTTTTTATCTATTTCGCCAACAAATATAATTTAAATTTGCTCTCTGAGCAACATGACACTGTTTTGTTCCTGAATGAATCAACTTTAAATGATTCGGTTCAGTCGCATTTAAAGGGGTCATATGATGCGATTTCAAGTTTTCCTCTAAATGCCACTTCTAATGCAGCTTCCGTGTTTTCTCTGCTTTGCAAAGATTAATTTTGTCAATACTGATTTTGGACTGGTAACAGCCCAAATTACTTATTATTCTGATTGACTGATTCAGTTTAAGAATTTGCCTGAAAAGATGATGCACACTTTTAGAAAAAAGGCTTTATAAAGGTAAAAATGCTCATAAAAGGTAAAAATCAATTTAAACTTATTGGAAAAGATTACATTCTATCACTGCTGTGAACTGATCACCACACAGAATATGCATAATATCAAAAACTTTAGGAGTCAGCTGTCCACGGTAGTCCTTAAGATATCAGCACAATAACATACTCAGCAAAATATAATCTAATTATCGTTATCGATAAAATCCCAGACAATATTGAGATGTTAACAATATTGCACACTCCTAATATGTTTAACGTTTTGTTTAGAATTTTTTTTAAATAAATATGAGAAGTGCCCTTTTTTCCACTTGAGCCCCTGCCCCTCAAAATGTCTGTGCATGTCCATGATTCTGTGAGTAAAAACTGAAAATTTACAGAAACAATTTTCACTCAGAAATTGCTAGTAAATTATACAAATAATTACAAATTGGAAAAAGTACCAATGAATTAAACATGAAATTTTGAAGTAGAAAGACTGAAATAGTATTATTTAAAACCTACTCCAACAAAATAATTAATAATACAATAATACAAAAATATTTTTATTTAGAACCTTTTTTTAAATAGAAATATTTGTGTACTTTGTCTATTGATTTATCTTTTAATAATATATTTCTGAACTCATACTTTGTTCTGCAAATCTATTTATTTTATTCATAGGGCTATTGCTGGAAAACGAACAAATAAACTAGTTAAAGCGAAGGTCTCAGCACTCCAGGGGTGTCTGGACTTTCTCTGATGTAGGTACATGCAGAGCAGATGAATGTGGAAAAAGTGAGAGCAGAAAGTTTGGCTAACGGTGGTTTGAAGTTGAAAGCTGGTTCGTGCCATGTGGCAATAATTAAAGTCCTCAATACGTTCACCCAGACCGTACCAAACAAGAGCTCCTTTTACCAACAGACCAGTTTGCAGGACGTGCAGACACAGCACATGTCAGCACTTTATTAAAAGTCCCCAGAAATGCAGCCATCACATTCCCAAAACAGAAATGGGTTGAACTCACCACGAGTTCAGCAGCAATACTAATGAATACCAATAGCACTAATGGTCTTAACTAAGAGTGTGTCAATGGAATGAAAACAACGGATTGTCTTGTAAATAGTCCAGCTCCATACAATCCTTAATGCAAAGTTTATAAAAACCCACACTGAGCTTTAGAGGACTTTAAGTGGTAAAGTGCTAGCTAGCAAAATGATGCAAAACAGTCTTAACTCATAGATAAAGGAAAGGATTAAAGCTGCCCCAAAAAGCCGCCCTCCCCCTGAGGTTCAGTTTAGTTGGAGAGCGATGATGGACAGGAGGAGAAATCAGTGTCACAGTGGTAACAAAGGTGTCCCAGTGAGGGCAAAAGCTGAATGTTGAGTGATTAGTGATTATTCGGTTCTCTCTCGAGGCTGTTGCTTGTTTGAACAGCAGTGGAGCGCTGAAAGATAGCGGGTGATAAATGACAAGCCATTTATCTTCCTTCCCTGTTTTGTCCCCCAGCATCCCAGTGTCTGTATGTGACAGCTGAATGCGCTTGTGAAAAATGTGCAAGTTTTGAGAGAGAGTGATTTCGGTTTATGTGAGCGTGCATGTGTTTGTTGTGAATGACACTCTGTTGCATTGAGATGAAGCCAAGAAGCTCTGCATGCGCACAATGAGGAACTGCTGAATCTGTCTGTCGGCCGTTGACAAATGAACTCTTCACACGTCTCGCCTTCCACTTGCCATTGATCACTCTGCGCCACTGAGGTCATGCTGTTAGCGCATGCTAATGCAGGTCAAAACATCACAGTTTGAACGATTTCCCATAAAACCTGATAAAAGAATGTGTTAACGTCACGGTGAATAAAAATGCATGAGGTTGTTGAGTTTGGAACATTTTCGACCATCATTCAAAACATCACTTCACTGATCATCAAGTACTTTTGTTCCCTGCAGCATTAAAGCTAATTCTTCTTCTTTCTTAGAATACACACATGTATCCTCAACAGTAAACTGAAACACAGTCATCAGAAGAGGAAAAACCTTTTGCTCTCTGACTTCCTGTGTCGATAGGGGTCAGAGGTAATGAGAGGACGCTGTGCCTCTGGACTTCAAGGGTTTATTGTTTTGCCGTCGCCTGTTAGACGTGACCAACTCAACACAACTAGTAAAGGATGTCGTTCTCTAATGTCCTCACTACATATCAAAGTGCTTGCATGTTCAACAACAACCCACCAAAACTGACATTCAGCTTCAATTAGCTCTTTATTTTGTTTTCTCTGATAAAATACTATTTTTTAATGCCCATTCGTTCTACTAATCTTGCATATGAGTATTAATTACATAAAATGTAAAAAGTGATACAAGGCACCGTTATATGTTACAAAAGTTCACATTCTGATTCATTGCAATAGCTTGAACAGTTTGGGAACTGTTAGTAGACACAAACTAAACGGAAGACGCTGTTTACATCATGCAAAGTTCATAATATAATCCATCTGGGCATTTTCAAACATTACTGACATTATCCATTTATAGCACTTTTTACATGTCTGAAAAGTCTCAACACACACCCTGACATCATTCAGTCCTTGTGCTTTTTAATCGACCAGTGATTTTAAATCAGGTAGGCCTCTCAGTTTGTAGTCAAGTAGCATTTGCCCGTAGGCTTTTCCCTGCAGAAACACACACAATAACACGTTTTTAGTAATAATAGTAAAAACATGAAGTAACACTATGTTGTGAGGGATTTATATAACTGGTAAATTTCAAAGGTCTTTTTCTAAATGTTGATTATAATGCTATCGTTCAAAAGTTTGAGGTTGGTAAAATTTTTAAATGTTTTGTAAGAAGTATCTTTTGCTCACTTCTGCATTTATTTCATTAAAAATACAGAAAAAAACATTTAATATTTTGAAATATTATTACAATTTAAAATATCTTGTTTCTATTTTAATGTTTTAAAATGTAATTTATTCGTGTGATGGCAAAGCTGAATTTGCAGCCATTAATCCAGTCTTCAGAAATCATTCTAATATTCTGATTTGGTGTTCAAGAAACATTTTTTTTATTATCAATGTCGTAAACTACTGTGTTGTTTCTGTGAAAAAAAATATTTCTGTGGAAACTTTTTTTTCTTTTTTTTTGTTTTTTTTTAATGATGAATAGAAAGTTTATTTAAAGAGAAATCTTTTGTAACATTATAAACTTCTTTACTCGTTTCTTACCTTTGACCAGTTTAATGCATCCTTGCTGAATAAAAGTATTCATTTCTTACTGACCACAAACTTTGTACCATACAATGTGAGGAAATAATTGAATTTTTGGAACCATTTCTTTAAGGTAGTAAATAGCTAGATACCCAAGTAATCTCATACCAAGTGTGAATGGTTTTCATCCTTTAAGTTACTTTTTCCCCTTGAGATTTTTTTATTGTTTTTTTAACCTTTAAAAAGACCCACAACAGTTGAAGTCTCTGTGTCTGCGTCCGTTTTGCGAGTTTGTATGAATGAATGTGTGTATTACCTGAGGGTCGCTGCGCAGTGACGCCACCCCTCCCCCTCCAAGTGAGTTTGGAAGAATGAAGTTCAGACCATGAATGCCGGGCAGTTCGTACCTGGAAGCCACCGCAAACATGTGAAAAACATTATTTTAATTGAAATCACCTCCCGGTTTTCACACATCTGTGCATTAGCTCACACCACACTCTTGCGCAGACAGGCACCTAGACATGTCAGTCCTCAGCATGAGGTGGTCCTCATTAGCGGCACCAAAGGAGTTCTCCCTAACCCATAAAACAAGAGGCTTGCATGCATGGACTCTCTCTCTCCCTCAAACACACACGCAGGCCTTTAAAAAGCCGCATAGGCTACAGATGTGGAGTAGCTCAATATAAAAGTGTTACAATGTTTATTTTGTGTGACGTTAACTTCCTTACAGCTTCAGACTTTAACTAGCAATGATTTTCTTAAAAGTAAGCTACAATTATGATATTTTATTTTTTCCATTAAACCATTATCATCTTTCACCATTGTCTACTAGTACATTTTTTTTAATTTCTTCTTACCGTATGACGGAGGGTAGATCAGTCTGATCCTTTCTGATCAAATGTTGGAAATACTGCTCCACAACTTCAGCAGTTAAACACTTTTTCAGGTAGGGGAAATACAGTGGATGTCTTGCAATAACCCCTAAAAACATAAGTTACACACATAGATTTAAAGAAATAGATCAACAGACTGATACATCGAGAAATGTGGGACATCTACCATATTTGATTCATACCATCATGCTGAATAATAGACAGAACGACAGATACAACGATAGAACGACACAACGACAGACAGACAGACAGACAGATAGATAGATAGATAGATAGATAGATAGACAGATAGATAGATAGATAGCATAGGCGGAGGGTGGACCAACTCCAGGGTAAGGCTAAAAGCAGCCAAATCTATTAACTACAAACATAATAAGCCCGTCTTTTTAGGCAAGAACCAGCCATGGGTGTCATGTAGGCTAATAAAATATGTTTAATGGGACTGAATTTGTATTTAACGTGATTACAATTTAATAAAAACGTTTATACGTTTAGTATAAAACCTTTCCTTTCCAAAGTTATTCAAACAGCGAATAAATTATTATACAGAAAGTGACATTAACACTAACTTTGATCTATCGCGAGTTTAAGCACTATCAAAAAACTAAACAAAACTATCGTTATAATCACTTAAGGTGTCTACACTGTGAAATGAATCTCTTACTTACGTTGTACATACATCTGCACGTCCAGGGGCCAGTTGCATAAACTTAGCCACCATGTTAAGACTGTGTCTTAAGAACTAGTTTGACCAACTAGCAGTTGCCAAAGGGTAAATAGTCTTACTTTGCCAATACAAATAAGACCAATCTACCTTTCATAACTGAATTTAAAAAGCTATGACCAGTCTTGAAGAAAAACAATTAGTTGACTAACTTTTTAAGACTAGTCTAAACAGTTTATGCAACCGGCCCCAGAATTCAGTCAGCGAACGCGCGTGCACTCAAAACTGATGAGTTTCAGCGATGACTCATCTGAACGTCTCTGATTGGCCATTGCATTCCCAAGCTCAACAGAATCGTGTGTGATTGGTTATAATGCGCAACACTGTAAAAACGCCTAAAATTAAATACGGTGCAACATGATTAGATCTTAATTTAATGCCGCAATCGACACTTTCTATTCATTTTAATTTTGTTAGCAACAGATTTAATTTGTTTGTGCAGGGGCATTTTTGTCCAATTTAGTGGCATTTTTGCCCCAACTCGCTGTGGCCCAGCCTTACACACGCTCCGCCTATGATAGATAGATAGATAGATAGATAGATAGATAGACAGACAGACAGACAGACAGACAGACAGATAGATACATAACCACCCGTCACATCTAAAATTAAGTTAAGACCACATCACAAGAGAGTGTTGCCTTTTGGGCTGCAGACAGTGGGCTGTGATTTGTGGTTTGTGGTCAGAGAACATGGTCTGACCCAGTTTTTTTCCAGCATTTATTGCCAGAATGGCTTTTCTGGTATGACACTGACATGCAGTAAGCAAATTGTCTCATCGTTGAAATATTATTCACTGCGTGTGAAAGCACACGGGGAGACACTTACCGATGTTTGAGGAGTCCCCTTTGTCTCCACTGCGCGTGTATGCTAACTCGTCCAGTCTGAAGGTATGCGGGCCGGAGGGCAGATCTGAGAGAGAGAGACAATTTTGTTCTCAGCGTAATGAAATTCAGCAGTTGGCAGGTAGAACTAACAGCGAGCATCTGAACCTATTCAAAGACAGTTTTGCTCTCAGTCAACTTACAGACTGCTTGATCTAACTGATCATTTAAATTGAAATAAGCAAATAAAAATAAGCATTTTCACTATCGTTCAATGGTTTAGGGTCAGTAAGATTTTTTTTTAATATATAGAAATGTATGTTTTTGTTCTGCAAGGATGCATTAAAATGATCAAGAATTCTGAAAAAAACATGGTATCATGGTTTCAACAAAAATATTAAGCAGCACAACAGTTGGCTGCTGGAAATTAAATTTTGGCATCACAGGAATAAATTACATTTTTAAATAAATATATTAAAATAGAAAAAAGTTATTTTAAATTGGAATGATATTTTGCAACACTGCTGTTTTACTGTATTTTTGATCAAATAAATGCAGTCTTGGTGAACATAAGAGACCTCTTTCAAAAACATTAAAAAGTCTTACTGACCCCAAAGTTTTGAACAGTGGTGTATGTTTTACTAAAGAAAATGAAAGAGGCTACCATGATTCTTTTGTGTTTTTGGAGTTACCAGGGTGTTTTGTTTCTTAGGGTGTGTTAAGGTTGCTTATTGTCTCATCTAATCTAATCAATAATCTGTCAGTCTAATTTTTATCTGGTTATCATTAGCTACATCGCATATAATCAGTTTTTCGGTCTCAGAAAAAGCCCTTGGGCCGCAGAAACATTAGAAGCCTCTCTTACAATCAGCCCTCTGTGATGCTCTAATGACCGTAGCTCCAGGTTCTTCTCTCTGTTTGTGTCTGTGCAGATTTGAGAGGGAAGGAAAGCGAAACGGAGTGAAAAGAAAAAGTGCAGAGACTATGTTGCTTTGTATTGTGTTCATTTGTATTTAAGACCTCCTGTGTTTGCGTGCATGGCCCTTGAGTATTTGTGAATGAATGCGAGTGTGTGCGTAACAGTCCGCGCCTGCGTGCGTTCAAACACTAGATCCGATGAAAGGATGTCCCTGATTATTTAAAGGGTTTAGCTGCTTGTTTAGTGCAACTGAGAAGTGGCAGATAGATAAAAAAAGACTTGAGCAAACACTGCCAGTATACTACAAAGGTTGTGCCTTTCAGAGAACCTAAAGCAAAGGACTCTGGGAAAACAAGCAGCCTTGGATTCCAGTGCAAGGGATCTTATAAAACCCCTCATCACATTGGCCCTTAAAACAAGGCTTAAGCCCAGTTCTTTCAGCTGAGTTTTGTTGCTCAAACATTCCATCCACCTCCACCTTGAAGTAGGTCATATCAAACACTGAATGATTGTCTCCATGTGGAAAAAATTGTTTTGATACACAAAAGTGTCTGTCATTCATAAAATCACATTACATGCTGATCTGGGAAAAATTTAGGAGGAAGAAATAGTGCTGGAACGTGTACAAAGCATGAAATATGTTCACTGAGAAAAAGAGAATAACTCATCTTTGAAAGGAATGAAATGCAATATTATCCTCATCATATTCTGACTGTTTTTGAACGAATTACTATAGAATTAAGTAAGAAATCACACTTTATTTCAAGGTTCAATTCTCGCCATTATCAAACCATTAATTAGGACTTTTGCCTCAATAAACTCCTAATTAATAGTTAGTAAGGTAGTTGTCAAATTTAGGCATTGGGTAGAATTAGGGATGTAGAATATGGTCATGCAGAATATGTGCTTTATAAGTGCTAATAAACTGCCAATATGTTAATAATAGGCATGCTAATAAGCAAGTCAATAGTGAGAATTGGTCCCTGTACTAAAGTGTTACCGAAATTTAGTACAGAAACTTCGCTGTTTCTGTAGGATTCATTGGTTACAATGTAAATTAATGCATTTACAAAGCAACTTTTTGATTTTGTCATTAAATGAAACATTTTAAAGTGGAGTGTGATTGTGGAGCTTCACAGTCAGGGCTGCCACCATTTTTCATTGTGCTTAGACAACCTCCTTTTTGTCATCATACAAGTTTTCAACTTAAATGTGACCACTACACTACACTACTGTTTAATGTTTTTGAAACAAGTTCCTTATGCTTACCAAAGCTGCATTTATATGATCCAAAATATAGTAAAAACAGCAATATTCTGAAATATTACAATTGAAAATAACTGTTTTCAAATGTAATTTATTCCTGTAACGGCAAAGCAAAATTTTCAGCCGTGTCACATGCTCTAATATGCTGATTTGGTGCTCAAGAAACGTTTTTATTATTGTTAATATTGAAAACAGTTTTTGCCACTTTATATTTCTGTGGAAATCATGATGCATTTTTCAGGATTCTCTGATGAATAGGAAGTTAAATAACAGCAGCATTTATTTGAAATAGAAATCTTTTGTAACATTATAAATATCTTTACTGTCACTTTTGATCAATTTAATGCATCTTTGCTGAATAAAAGCATTAATTTCTTACCCTACTAAGTTTTCTATTTACGTATTCCATGAACACTTTTTGTACATTTTGTAGTTCACATACAATGGTCAGGGTACCTGTGGGTGTTGGGCTATTTTCCTCTGAGCGGAGGGAGGGGTAGTGTCCTTCAGCTAATGAAGGCTCTAATGCTGCCTCTCTGTGTGTCTCCACAAGCTCCCCATTCACATGAATGTGCACCTGAAATCACCAATTAAGGCTCATTCATTCATTCAACGATCCATGTGAATACTTTAATTGATCCATTTCCATATTCTGTCCAATTCACTTAGAATGACCTGTTAAGTTAATGAACTTTTAGATTGTGTTGTATACAGTGATGGACTTTGATAAAGCGTGAATTCAGTATAATCAGGCCACTTTTTTCCATTCATCTCAATAAGAAACGTGAGCCAGTTTACGTGATTTCACCATGTACTTTGACACTGTATTATTACCATATTCATAAAACATGGTATTATCATAGTAAAAATAATAATAGCAATACCTCCAGATCTGCTTTGGGGTGCAGGAAAAAGAAAGGTTTCAGCACTGGCGATCTAGAAAGAGAAAATAGATATTAAATAATACACATGGGCCAAAGATGAGATGTCCGCATCAAATTAAATTTACAAGTGATTTTATATACATAGAAAGCATATTAAAAGCAAGTAAAGTGTCTACTTTAATGTTTCAAATAAAATAAAATAAAAATCTAAATATGGGTAAATAATGCACACCATCATTCAGTGTAAAATATATATTTTATGTAAAAACGAAACAACATACTTATTCTGATCTGTACTTATTAAAATATATAATAGAAAAGGTAATCATACTAAATTTTATTATATTTTAAATGATTAAAAACTTGCTGATGATAAATATGTAAAACCTAGTAGTTTGAAGTATAGTGGCAAAGATCTGTAAAGATTTAAAATTACAATTAATTTGATTTTGTGGGCTGCACTATGATGCTTAAATACAGACTTTTAATGTCATCATCAATGATTCATGTTCTAAATATGCCTGCCATGGTTTTATGGTATATAAACTACTGTTACACTAGAAGTCATGGTTAAAATTTATGATAGTCATTATTTAATCCTCAGAAAAAAATAAAAATAAACAGGACACATTCTAATGTACGAAGAAAAAAAATAAAGCTTTTATTGTTTTGATGCTTGAAAACACCTTTTCGCTTTTGACCGACATGCATCATTTGGTGGTACACTTTTATGTGAAGTTCTAAACAGTTTTTGTACTTAAAGGGGTCCATTATGCTCTTTTACAATGTCTTGAATTTGTTTTGGGGGTGTACTATAGAACATGCTCTCATGCTTGGTGGACGCATTCTTTTTTACATAATTTACATTATTACAATACATTATTTTAATGATATTCTAATGGGCCGCTTTGTGATATCACAAAACCCGGAAAACAAACGCTGTAGTCCAAACGAGCCGTTCGTTGTAGTTCTTGAAAAGGGATTTTTTTTAAAAACGAAATATCTCCCTTTGGAGTGGACTTTGAGATTTGCAAGTTTGTAGATCTTTTTTATGCCCAAACATACGCACTACACACTGACTAAAATTCAAAAAGTGAAAAGCATAATAGGACCCCTTTAAAGAACTGCTAACACTTACATTCTTGGTCGTCCTCCCACAATAGCTGTGAGTCCTGGAGCTGCAAGAAAGAAAGAAATTACATATTGGCCTAAGTTGTTCAAATGTTCTTTGGCTTTAAATGAACGGGGAGCTTAACTTAAGTGGTTTGGAAACAGAGTAGGACAAAACTGAGCTGAGGTTTTTGCTCACCCATGCCTGTTCCCGCTGGTGCCACCTCTCTGGAGAAAAGCTCCAGCGCTTTCTTCTGCTTGTGATGGACAGTCATCCAAACCACAGCCTCACGAGGACTCTGCACAATAAAGAACAGCCTCAAAAGCCGCAGGTTATTTGTTCTAAATGTAAACGGACAGTTTACTAATTGTTAAACACAATTTTCAACATAAAACAGAAACAGACAGCCTACTGTATCGACCGCATGTGGTCCATATGTGTCCTCAGCACCCAGAACTTGAATGTTGACTTCAGCATAGTCCTCCAAACCCAGCTGTTTGAAAATTCGCTGGGTCCTACAGATACAGTATTTCATAATGTAATTTCACAATACAGCACAATTTTATTAGCCATTAAAGCTCTAGTGGGGTTTAAAAACTTTTTAAACACTGTATATAACAACCTCTATTTAGGATATTTAATCTTAGTTGTCTTAATCAACTTTATACCAACTTGTATCGCTGATTCCTAAGGCAAACAACAAATTACATATCAACTATTTTAGCTATAAAACCACTCCGAATAAACTCCCAACCTTTTAATAATGCTTTCTGCTGTTCTTCTGGCTTTTTCCGCAGCTCTCGGACCACCAACAGGACAAACTGCCGTCGCCCTGAGCCCATCCATATATGTGGCACAAACCTTAAGACGACAAAATATAAACAATAACCATTTTCAAAAGCAGCTAATTTATTACTTTTCCATTACTGCATAAAAAAAGACAATTAAACTTAAATTGAAATGACTGACTTCAACTAACCAAAGCAGAAATGTTGACCAACCTTGTAGTCAGCTGACGGAGGTGATCCTTTGGCACCATCTACTTTCACTGCTCCTCCATCCACATCTAAATACATATAAAGCCCAGTCAGAGAATTTATGAGGTATTAGCTTTGCCCTAGAGTTTTAAATGTTCAACAGTTTTACTTCAGATCAAATCAAGCTAGTGTACATACATTAGCTTATTGATTACACAGACAATGAGATGGAAGTTTAGGGGACAAAGGAAATATTTGTTTTGTGACAAAGAAAATAACATTAGTTAAATTGCAAAGAGGTTGCAAAGGTTATAGCAGATAGCTGGAACCGGCTCTTAGGTAGCCAGTCTAGACAACTGGTGTAAAGTCAATGGGCTGAGTCTCGGAGTCAGACATTTAGAGATAATAAACAAGCAACCATCTGATCACTGCATGAGGACTTTCTACTGGAGATAAATACTGTCATCAACCAGCTTTGGCTTGCTTAAAGTTATCTCTCCACAATTTTGAAGATATTACTATTACTATACCTATAAATATGCCACTGCATGAATGTTTTCAATGTTTTCAGCATTGATAATAATAAGAAAAGTTTCTTGAGCAGCAAATGATCATATTAGAATGATATCTGAAGCATCATGTGACACTGAAGACTGAAGTAATGATGCCAAAAAATTCAGTTTTGCACCACAGGAATTTTAAAACATTAAAATAGCTAAATACTATTGTAAATTGTAAAACCTTTGAAGATTATATATATATATACAGTGGTGTGAAAAAGTGTTGGCCCCCTTCCTGATTTCTTATTTTTTTGCATGTTTGTCACACTTTAATGTTTCAGATCATCAAACAAATTTAAATATTAGTCAAAGATAACACAAGTAAACACAACATGCAGTTTTTAAATGAAGGTTTTTATTATTAAAGGAAAACAAAATCCAAAACTACATGACCCTGTGTGAAGAAGTGTTTGCCCCCCTCTTAAAACTGCGGTTTATCACACCTGAGTTCAATTTCTCTAGCCACACCCAGGCCTGATTACTGCCACACCTGTTCGCAATCAAAAAATCTCTTAAATAGGACCTGCCTGACAAAGTGAAGTAGACCAAAAGATCCTCAAAAGCTAGACATCATGCCGAAATCCAAAGAAATTCAGAAACAAATGAGAAAGAAAGTAATTGAGATCTATCAGTCTGGAAAAGGTTATAAAGCCATTTCTAAAGCTTTGGGACTCCAGCGAACCACAGTGAGAGCCATTATTCACAAATGGCAAAAACATGGAACAGTGGAGAACCTTCCCAGGAGTGGCCGGCCGACCAAAATTACCCCAAGAGCACAGCGACGACTCATCCAAGAGGTCACAAAAGACCCCACAACAACATCCAAAGAACTGCAGGCCTCACTTGCCTCAGTTAAGGTCAGTGTTCATGACTCCACCATAAGAAAGAGACTGGGCAAAAATGGTCTGCATGGCAGAGTTCCAAGACGAAAACCGCTGCTGAGCAAAAAGAACAAAGGCTCGTCTCAGTTTTGCCAGAAAACATCTTGATGATCCCCAAGACTTTTGGGAAAATACTCTGTGGACTGACGAGACAAAAGTTGAACTTTTTGGAAGGTGTGTGTCCCATTACGTCTGGCGTAAAAGTAACACTGCATTGGCCCAACACTTTTTCACACCCCTGTATATATATATATATATATATGTTAGGGGTTGAACGACTTCTGATTTTTAAAAGGCGACTTTTATGTGATGAAAGTCGAGTCGAAGTCGACTAGTCGCTGATGGCGCCATTAATGAACAAATAAGTCTGGAGCTATGACAAACACCTTGTGCACAGCTATGGCATATGACACAGCACTGCCCACATGGCTATTGCTCCTATAACAGCTCATTTTTATCAGTTCTTTTGTCTTTGGGTCGTTATATTTCTCACAGATTTCTGCTCGTTCTAAATCAGATACAGATAAAGTAGCATAGTAAAGATTACATTCATAGTTAATGCATGCATTAGTGAGAGCGATAGCGTGTGTGAATTAATTCTACCTGGCAGCGTCTCTCTGCTAGTACTGAAGCTGTGGGATTTAGTTATTAACCCTCTGGGCCTCTTCGTTTAGGGGTCACACTTGGCTCCTTCGCGGTCAAAAGTGACCGAAACCTTGAAATGTAACTTGTTTTTTCAGGAAAATCAGTGTAATACATTTTTGTTTAATAATATTTTTTGATTATTATTTAGAATTTTGAGGGGATTTTATGATACTATGCAATATTTGTACAATTTTAATGAACTATTTTTTTCCATTAGAATGTATATATTTTTATTTATTTAGTTATTTATTTATTATTTTTCAATAAATGCAATATTTCATGTTAAAACAGAGTGAAAACATTTAAAATTCATTTATTGAAGTGAGAATTGTGCCATATGGTGGCA